TCTTTCTTTTACCAGTAAAACGGATAACTTCTGATGAAAGCCATTCTTCCACTTTATCCAGGGTGTATTCATTTGGAGATTACCAAACGGCGTCGATGACTTTTACTGCTTCGCCTTACTTTTACAGATTCATCTCAGTTGGACAAGACACTGACGGCTACCCACCGGGAGCTAATCAAGTACTGAGTTTTATGCAATCGTTACACTAACAAGTAGATATATATCCATATAATATGTGTGTTTGTTTGACAGTCTGATATATTTTGCTATGTATATATGGATCGATATTCCATTATAATTAGCCAATCATTTTAAGACTGTCTATTGATTTGTTCATTTTGAATATTCGCTCACACACTTGTGTTCACACACTTTCGGACATTTATATATAATTTTGCTCTCACACTCTTGTGTGACATTGATTCTCCTGGTGTTTTGGAAAATAGAAGTATCATCGCAAACCTAGTGGTCTTCTGATTTCCGTCTTTCTTGCGTCAGGACTATTAAATTCTCGACCAGTACATAACACAAGTCGACGAGAAGTTAAGTAATCTACTTAATAACAGTTGAGTGGATTTTATAGAGTCACCGTGTTGATCAGGTGGACTTATGTGAATAACCAAACTTTCTGCATGTTTCAATGACAAAAATCCAAAGACGGAGATGCTCGAGTTGTGTCTACTTAGCACAAAGTTTGGATAAAGAAAGCTCTGATATGAAGTTAGAAACATGGGTCTAAGAAACTAGGGATAGTGTTTCTCTGGCTAGAGTTGTTAATAGTGGTTACAGAGTTGTGAAAAAGCGGAGGAACTGTTTGTGAAATAGTACTATTGGTGAGAGGACAATAGGAAGGTAGCAACCTGTCCTCTTCGCATAGTGGGACCATCGGCCTAAACTTCGATTATTGTGATAACACATCACTGCTTCTTGTTCCTAAGTGATTCTATATACAGGTTGCAGTTAGCGCAGCACATTGTTCGTTCCAAATTTGACGGAATAATAGAAATCCATACAGTTCTGTTATCCTAACAGGGTCGTTGTTGCTCCAAATTAAGTGAAAAGTCTTCATTGTGTAATAAAAAAGAAGACACTCAGAGAGGCATCAGTGTTTTCCGATAAAAATAATCGAACCCATCAATTTACACTTCCAGTCGTTTTTCGATGGACAATGAGTTAAATTGCGCCTACACACACGCGGTGAGAGAACTTTTTATTCCCTTACGTTCCCAGTGCAACATAGGGCTTCAAGCTGGGGGCTTGAAGTTTCGGTGGCAGTGGTGTTTTTATTTTTACGGGATGAGGTTGTTAGCCTCACACCCAACCTCCACTCTTTACTAGTCTTATCGCTGCCTTAGCGAGGTAAAGGAGTGCGTCGACCGAGGATGAACCCCGGACCACATGCGTGGTTGGCGAGCATTCTACCACTGTGCTACCTACACACTGTGAGAAGATAAACGTATTTATTTGTTTGTTTACTAACTTGAAAATCAAAATTACTATCGAATTAAGACAATAATGTATAGTTCTGACTTCAGACTACTATCATTTAATATTTCATAAGATTTTGACGCTTGATTGACTGTCATGCAAACATTCATTAGCAGGTAAATTGTGGCATTCTGGCACAAATCACTTCTATAGGTTTTGGGTTGGTTTTCCTAATCGGACCCAGGCACAGACTTAATGTCACACTACTGCTGCCATATATAATTTTTTCTGAAAGAATAATGAGTTCATCTCCTTTATTTTGTATCGTCATTATTCTTCGTTCCTTGAGTTCTGAATTGAACACAGGACTTCATCAGCACACCTCCATCACACTCACTTGCAGCTGGCTACTTGACAGATCACAAACTTCCATTTCTTCCATGCTACCCTAGGACGCCAAACCCATCGATTTCCATTCAGCTACCAATCAACAATCTGCCACATGATATCGCTCAATGGTCACCTCGCATATGTCTAAGGCATATCCAGTCCCTTCTCCATATTTCCTGGTTAAACAATAGGTTCTTAGCTGGTTTTGTGCCTGTCAAAGTCCCTTGTTGATTATACTTTCTGAACAGTCAACCATGTGATGTTAAGTATCGAGCCGGAGAAGGCATTCGTTGACGGAAATGCTTTTCGTGAAGACAGCGCCAAGTCTCTGAATCATACAAAAGCAGTGACGTGACATTAGTGTCAAGAGTTTCGGTGGTGTTCGTTGCGTTGAGTCCTGGAGGTCTACACGCTAGTTTTAGAACAATAAACGTCTGTTTTGCTTTCCCTATCCCTATCCGATCCTGGTTGATCGTGACATTCTCATCTGTGATGCTCACCTGTAATCGAAACGATGCTGACCTACTTACTAGTCAGTCAGGTAAGTGAAAGAGATTAGTTCCTTTACATCCTTCCCGTTGATTGTGATTGGTGCTTGCTGTTGTGGTCGGTAGTGGTGGTGGTGGTCATGTATCTTTGTCACATCTATCTTCTCTATGTTCACCTTGTTTCCTTTCTTCGCTGCCTCCTCCTTTACCAACTTGTTAGTTTTAGCTTGTTTAAATCGATAGATCAGAAGTTAAACTGCAAACAGTTACTCCAACCTACATTAACCTTCGTAAATGAATAAGTGAAGATTGTGTAGAAGTCACTCAGTAAGACGAACGTTTCACTCAATTTGTTTCAGTTAATACTGGCGATGAGAAAGTCCTTTCTTTGAAAAAAAAACAACAGTATTATACAGCTGAGTGAGTGAATTCCCCGAAAAGAGACTTCGCTGGGCATTTCAAATGCTAGAAAAAGTGAGATCCTAGCTGCATAAAGGTGGTGGTAGTGTTATTGGACAGAAGTGATTACGTTGAGAAAATGGAAGGTATTCTGAATGATTAAACTAAACTCCAATCTCATGTTAATTTCAAAGATCTCAATATAAAAGTAGGGAAACTAATGACGGACTCCCTTAAAAAACTGAACCAAAAGGGAGTATTATCAGCATCCATTTATGAGTTTATGAAACCAATATGTTATTCATATATGATATGATTATGAGCAATAAAATGTGCTCGAAATGTCATCAGTAAATATTACTGTATAACACTATGAGACTTTATCAAAATAAACTTTATCCACAATGAAATTATACTGTACCACAGTGCACAGGTTCTATTCTTATATCGGCAGGTAATTCGTGACGGATTTTCCAACACGATTATACGTTGAACAACACACGTAGACGATGGTGCGTTGAAGGTGTTATGCTACTATTTGATGTGATTTGACAGTGGCTAGCAGTCGAATTCGAAGCGCTCTTTCCGCTTCATTTGCGATTCATCAACTAGAAGTGTATGCTTCCTAGTGGATGATGATGGATGGTGCTCCTACTAAAACTTCTCGGTAGTTTTAAAATCCAGAGCTTGTTCACTAAGCTACTGAACCACGAGAACTTTGATGGCTAAGGTCATTGAGAAATGAAAACACCCCAAGTTCCTACATTCAAATACATGGTAAACTAAAAAGACAAAATTTAACCTCAGTACATATCAGTTTGTCACACTAATTAAATGAAAACAGCCAAAAGTTGATTGACACATAATTAGTACACACTGAAGATTTTCATGAACCTTGAGAATAAGTGCGATGTCAGTTGGGATCACTTTCAAAGTGTGAGAAGAAACTTTATACAAGTTACTTCATTAGTAAGAAGATATTAAATACACTGACTGATTTCAGTTGCACTGAAAAGATCAACATGTCTAAAATGCAGTTTCTCATCTACTAAGTGGCGATATCAATATTATTGGTCTGAATGATTCTTTGACTGATCAGAGTTCAGATGTAGAGATACGATGAATTTCCTCAAGGTTTCCCACACGTTTAAACGCCGAACACTAGCAAGTATAATTAATACCTAAAGCTTCCTTCCTAATAAGTAGAAATGTATTACAGCAGGAGGAAAACGTGCGTGTTTCTTATCACTCAGTTTAAGTGTTGACAATGTATATTTGTCCTATGGACTTTAATAAACACCTGATAGAGATATCGGTTCCCATCAAACAACTAGCTTTCATTCCTCATTTATATTACTACCAGAAGCAAGCGATGCACTAGTTGTATTCCACTGAAAAAGAAGGGCATTAAGTGCATGAAAATAAGTCAAAGAATATACCAGCGTACAGAGGTTTATACTGCACTCGTGAAGGTAGTATATACAAAACTGAACTAAAATTGACATGCCACTAACGATCAGGAGGAATAGAGTTATGTTGAAAGTATTAATACCGATTACTTCTTAGTTTACTTCTGAAAGCTATTGTCATTTATTCACTTAGTTCCAACTTGTTAGTATGGGAAATAATGGGTTGGACAGAATTCGTCACAGAACACTCTCACTACTATTAGAATAAGGTAAATGGACATTGGTGATAATAAGAATTATTATTATTATTATCGTTTATCTACTTATTAATTACTAAAACTCCTATGAATAAGCTAACAGGCTATAAAGAGCTATTCTGCGTTGTGCTTGGTGCGGTATATTGAATGCAAAACCTTTCAGAAATACTCGTTTCACTTATTATTAAACTGGATTCATACAGTACTACTGAGTCTATTTACCAGTAGGTGTCACTCAATTCACAATCTGACAGTCTCATATTATTACTAATTTAACCGTGAATGTACTTCCTCACGTCAGTCCAACAAAACGTAACCCATAGACTATCCAGGTAACTTTTGAGACAACAACACAACACTTCTTTACGATACGACTTGCTAACAACACAGTACTGATCTATTTTCCTAGCAGTTTCTTCATTCAGAAGAAGTTAACTCACATAATAAATAGTGAGTTGTGATAATGTTAATCTTTCGGATCTGAAATTTCTGGCACGTTTTGTTTTTATACTGTACAAACATTGTTAACGTTGACTGTTGCTTTGAAATTTCAGGCGGAAATAAAAGCACCATTGTTCAAGTTTTCACATCTTTCTACGGATGTAACAAGTCGTTTTTGGAAAGTTCCTATGGAACATGATGCAATACGGTATCGCCTTTATCCAAACAATTCTTTTGTTACAAAAACTGACACTAATCATAACCAGTACAGCCTAGGAAACTCGAAAATTCTATCAAGATCTTCATACGCACTACTATCTCCATTGAATGATAAGGAGAGGATATATATGTGCTCTAGTTTTAGTTCAATGCCACGAAGTAATTCCGAATTAATGCTTGACTCAATGTCCACGCGTAAAGTCACGTTCTCTCGTATTCATTTACCCGAATCTATCTCTATTCAACTAAGCGAGAAAATGTGCAGGAAAATGTATGACGATGAGAGTAATTCTGTCAAAAATATTGATGAAAACACAATTGCTTCATGCACGATATGTGCAAATAGTCCATTGAATAAAACACTCACAGGCTTTCAACACTTTCAGCTTCAGTTACTTCATCACCCCAAGAAAATGATTCAGAAGAAAACAGACGATATTATAGGATTCAATCATATGGTGTTTCATCAGCGTTTGAAAGCTACTATTGGTCTGTTGATATTTTGTAAGGTAAGTTTTCTTTGTAAAATCCTTATTTTTGTACTCGAGGCGTGTAAGCCAAAAACATCTCGCAAGTTTGCACTCTCGACTAAAAATTAGACCCGCTGTTACCTAACTGCCAAGTTAGGTGTAAATCTGAAATAAGTGAATTGTTACTGCCCAGTTCAGTTAGGTACGGCTGGATATGGATGTTAAGCTGGAATGTAAATGTTATCACTAGGTCATCCTACTCTCGTAGGTCAAATGGTAATGCATAATCGACTTTCACTACCAGTGGAACCCCAGTTACGGAGAATATATCAAGACTATTTGAAGTATTTTAATAGGAGTCTAACAAAAAGAGAAAATACCCATTCATTGAACTCTGACCGATTACTTTCCCATGTATAAGAATGTACTGGACACAACTGTCTAACCTATGACACAAGATAACTTTATTAGATATTCCCCCTGATAGGATTTTTGTAGCAAATAACACTTCCAGACCACAAATAAATACTTCTCCACACAAAATCTCACCATAAAACATTATAGATGCGGAATTAAGAACGCACTATTAGTTTTTGACCATGATACCATTGGATAGTTTACCACTTACCTATCTTTGATGATGACTAGTAGATACTACTTAAACTAGTGCTAACAAAAATGCTTCACTGAAGGTGATTTTCTTAAGCTGAACAGGACCACCCTACAGTTACATTGGGTGGTTAACATTATTCGTCTTCAACAAATAATCTGTATTATTTTATTTGTCGAATTAGCATATTTCACATTAGTTACAAACTAGGTGTCATATTTATCATTATGTTAACAACTGTATATTTCTCTCCAGGTAAGTATGAATACTTATGTACCAAACTCACTGGGTGATTTAATTGAAACCTTGAGCAAAGAATATGATACTCGGTCAAAAAGTAAACCGTGCAAACAAATGGACCAAAATCAACAATGCAACGTAAACCGTTCAAGAAGCTATGTACAGCTAGACAGACAACACAGTATTCGAGAGAATTCCATCATGAAACAACCGGTAATGCGTTCAAATTCTTTTACCTACAAACAACACCATAGAAGTGTTGTTTAAGGAAGCATTTGTTAGCGATTATTTTATTACTACTAGTAATAATAGCAAAATACATGTCACTGCCACTACCACTACTAGAAGTGCTCTCGCTCCAACTTTTATTGGTTTTGCCGATAGTAGCACCAATAACGAATATTTACGCTACAAACTGCTATCTATCCTACAGGAACCTTTCCAAAAGTAACTGCTGAATGGTAATAACTTTATTCACGTTATCCATGAGCTACTGATTTGTACAAATCACAAAAAGATTTTCATTTGTCTTCTTATTACCTAATTTAATACTTCGCTTTTTGATGTGAAACTGAACTTTTTCTTTCTTGTGAAAGATATAACTGATTTCACAATCTTTCCAATCTAATTGTTGATTAACTGACGATAACCATACGCCAAACAATCACATTTTAAAAAGATTTACTAATGTACATATTCTAAAAGTAACAATTATTCTCTTATACTTTGAATATAGTTATTTAGTTAATACTTCGAGTGTCAAGTCATCTAGTTCAGTTACCACACTGCATAGTCGATCAAAATACATAGTATTGAACGACAAAATTCAGTGTCGTACAGTCACCTGCTCTAATGAACTTCCTTTATTAGGCTTATATCCCGGTAGATGTCGTAATCATACACAGACTACCTTCTGTGCGTCCACAGAGAAAGTTAGCTTTCCAAAAGACGAATACATATCAGGATTAAGATGTGGTGATCGTCTTACTACTTGAAATTAGTTGGAATTAAAGTGAAACTTTATTATCAAATCCATTTAAACACATCTTGCCCTAATATAAAGTTTATCAATCATTTAGCACAATGACCTCATTACTTATGGCCGCATATAGCATATTTAGATATCTACCTCCAACATATGAATTACCTAGGTAGAGAACTGACTAGAACTTCAGGTTATTTCACTACTACTACTATACGACTTCTGAGAGAAACAGTTTCTTCTTAGCTGTAGATTCTAGTTTCACCTAGCTACATATATGCTACTAAATCGATTTTGAGACGTATCAGTGATCAATCCATACTGGGTTTCAATTAGGACATGCAATACATTCATTATTGGCAAACTACGCAGTGTAAAGTGAAAACTCACCACCGTCTCTCTTAGAAATCTCCAAACGTGCGGAACGGCGACCCGATGTATGCATCATTTTGATCTAGCCATTGTTTGACGCGAGTAGTTTACAACTACTAATATCAGCCAGTATCACATACTATCTTGCTAAATTGTCAGCCAGTCTGGATTGCACAACAATTACTAAAAATATCTTCGTGGGTTGGAAGCATATTCCGAATCACACTGACTTTTATTACAACTTAATACCACCCATCACAATAAGTGACTAGGACTGTACAACGCATACTACACACATATTATTTAGTGCCTTTTATCTAATTTTTATCCCTATCTGCACCTAACAATAATTCAAAAACACAGAACAAATAATCTCAGATCGAGGATATCTTACACTGTCAGCGAGTATGTTTAAATCGTTGAGTAGGACATGGTGAAATACACCTGTTGATTAGAGGCCTAACATCTTACTGATGCTATAGATAATGCAGACCTTTCGAATCTATGCTTCTGCATCGCCAGTGACCCGTCTATTAATGTTAATGCAGTGTGTAAACCGACTGACACGCTAGAATATATAACTACCCTTAATTTAAGACGGGGACTGACTAGTTTTACCACCTGCTCAGTGCGCCAAATGCATGCACAAGACTCTGGATTTTGACAGTACCTCTTATTGAGGGGACCATGTTGCCTGTATACCTTATATTACCGTCTCAAAAGCAAGTCGACACAACTAACGCACTCAGGCATCACGCTACGAACAACAGCGCACTTAGGTAATAACACTAACCCTTTATCTTGCCCAAATAACTAGTATATAATACCCGCAGGCGATATATACTTTGTCCCTTCCGTTCAAACCCCCACTGACGTCCTTAAAAAGAACCCCGAAAGTAAGGCTAATTACAGGAACTCAGCCTGTAACACATCAAAAATAAGCTTGCGGTCCTTAAATATTAGTCCCACTGTTTTGTAAGTGCACGCTGATATGAAATAGAATCATATCGAAACTATATTTTTATTCTTAAGAAGTCTGATTTAAATTTACAAGCAACTGTTAGTTCACCCAATTTATAAAATGCATTGGTGATAGAACAAAAATGCATCAGCCCATGAAATCAACTTGAGACAGGTAGGGAAGTTTAACGGTTGGAACCTCCAAGATAATAGTGGACTCTTCGAGTTCACTTACATTGGTGGATTTATTCACTATCTATCATTATAATTTTAATTATCTTTGGCACCCACCCATAAGCTAAGCTTTCAGATACACATTTTTGTCTGTTGTGATACCACTACACTTGCTTTATCTGTGCTTTTTAAAAGTGTGGAAAATTAAATGGGTAGATATGTGTGAAAGTATATTCTAATTAGTCAGTCAGTTAGTCTACAGATAACTGGCTTTTGCGACTAACCAAATCACTCCCAATAGCCAAGACGTCTATGACAACACATGCTGCCACTATTGAAACACAAACCAACTTAAATAGCCTAGCGAGTAAAACAGTGACTTGAGCAGTATTGATTTTACTCAAATGTCCAATCAATTCTACTCATGTATATAAATGAAGTGAAAAGTTGTGAGTGACCAGATATGATTACGAGCAATAGTTTGTGCTCGGAACGTCATCAGATAGTATTACTGTATAACAGTGTGGTTTATCAAAATAAAATTTTATCTATTACGAACTTCAATTTGTCGGACAGTCTTTCACCGCTAGCCATGCTTTAATTAGCATAACATCCTATATTTTAAAAAATGCAAAGTTACCGACCCAGTGAACATATTAAGCATTTTTCATGACAACGTCAGTGAGGAATAATACTATGTTTCATAGTAAAGTTAAGACGAAACGGTAAAATCATATAAGGATGGTGGAGAACAAACAGCTAGTGATACAGTTTTGTTATTAGCATAGGATGAAGACAATAATGAGGACCCACAACCATTCAAACTACAGAAATCTGAAATATTAGAATTGCAAAAGTAAAAAAGCATTTTAACCAATAAATGAATCACTTATGTGAACATTTGGAATTAACATAGTTTGTTTTAAGTGTTTTAAAAGATCTTACACATCCACTTCTTCTCTTTGAAAGGATTGTCCTTAACACGGTGAACAAGAGGATCTGAGAGTAGGTTTTCTTGGCAGTAATTGATTAGGTCTATAACAGTATGGCTGAATCTTTGTCTCTCGTGAGCACAATGAATCCTTAGATCTTCAACTTCACGTCTTCTTATTTCAATCTCGTGCAACCTACTAATTGGAGCCATCAGCACTCACCAGCACTAAACAAAACAGGGACCAAACGGACGTCCAATATCCAATATCCAATATCCTGATGACGAGCTAGTATAAACCAGTGATTTCTTTGAGCTCGCTTCTTGATTGTGAGGTAGAGGTTCCAGATCTTCGGTGAGCTTCTGCGTAGTAAGTCCCGACACTCGACTGCTTTAGCTCTGGTAGACTCCAGGAGGAGTGGTGCGGGGATTGGTCGAGATGTGGTTTGTAGTATGCAGTATGTTAGGACTGTATTGCTGCCGTGAATGGAGTTTGACCTAACTCCCCTTGGTCATTCGGTGTAGTCATAAAAGCAGAATAGTAATAATAATAATAATAGGTTGTAGTGTAGATAATATAGGTTGAGATAAGTGGAATAATAAAGGTGACCTAAGGAAAAGATAGAGTGAGAGAAGGCAGAATAGGTCGTGGGGATTTAGTTAGTACGCTTATTCATTGACAGTTTGGTTTCAAATTTTATGAGGATAAGCCATTGAGACACAAACCTTGCATTTCTGCATGATTGTCTAGCTTCCGCTTAAAAATCTCCACAGATGGCGCTGTAGTCACGGCCGCCGGTAAAGCGTTCCAGAGACGGCAAACACGAAGCGAAAAGAAATGTGATCGCACTCGAGTCTTTGGTCTCTGGTGTGCTATCCTTAGCGGGTTACCTCGTGGAAGCCTATAATCGCTTAATGGCAGGATGCTTTTATTTGGGTGGGCCTGGTCATTTAGGATCTTGTAGACGGTGATGAGGTCTCCCCTGTGCCTACGGTAACTGAGTGTGAAAAGACCTAATTTCTTTAGTCTTTCCTCATATGATTTGTTGCGGAGGCCGATCACCCATTTTGTCGCTCGTCTCTGGACACTTTCTAGAATGTTAGCATCCCTTTTGAGTAGCGGAGGTGCAATGATATTATGCACCTCAAGGTGTGGCCTCACATATGCCTTGTATAGCCTTAAGAACAGTTCGGGAGTGAGAGCTCCCAGCTGCCTGTGCATAAAGTGTAATGTTGCGTAGGCTTTGGCGACGTCCCTCGAGTAATTTCCACTGGTGTCTAGCTTTTCTGTTAGAATAAGACCTAGATCACGCTCTGATGGAACACAACTCAAGTTCTGGCCACCAAGGGTGTAATTTACACTCTGTGACCTGCCGGAATGAAGCTGCACTACTTTGCACTTCTTTAGATTGAAAGGCATTCCGTTAGCCAAAGCCCAATTTCCCAGAGTTTGCAGGTCAGCCTGCAATCTATCTGAGTCTTCCGATGAGTTTATTGCTCTCCAAATCTTTACGTCGTCAGCGTAAAGAAGCGCAGAGCAGTTTAGTTGGGGGGGCAGGTCATTGATAAAAATCAAAAACATCAACGGCCCTAGGATAGAACCCTGAGGAACCCCTGATGCCGAGGTGTGCCAAGATGATCGGATGCGGTTGACTTTGGTGCAGAATTCTCTCTCGCCTAAGTAATCTGTCAGCCATGCGAGAAGTGCTCCAGAAACTCCCGCCTTGCCTATTTTGTGAAGGAGCAGACCATGGTGAACTGTGTCGAATGCTTTCGCAAAGTCGAGAAAGATCACGTGGGCTGGTACCTTTTTGTCCCAGGATAGTGTCCAATCGTTCCAGGCTAGTA